AACCTGCTGGTGCATGTGTTTGAGCTTTTGCATTTTCTGCCTGATGCAAGAGGCTGTAGGAGATCATTACTGGGGTGGGATGGGTCTTTGATGATGTTGGCAGCCTTTCTGCAGCAGTGAGCTGTGTAAGTGGAGTCTGTGGATGGGAGGTCGGCTTCTGTGATGGTCTGGGCTGTGCACACAACCTTCTGTACTTTCTTAAGGTCCTGGGCAGAGCTGTAGCCGTACCAGGCTATCATGCACCTGGGACAGTATGCTTTCTGTGGTGCCTGTAAAAGTTGGTGAAGGTCCTTGTGGACATGCCAAATTTCCTGAACTGCCTGAGGAAGAAGAGGTGGAGTTATGCCTTCTTGACCGTCGCATCTACGTGGGAAGTCCAGGACAGATTGTTGGTTATCATCACTCCAAGGAACTTGACACTGTCCACCATCTCAATCTCCGCTCTGTTGATGTAGATGGGGGCGTGTTCTCTTCCTTTCTTTCTGAAGTCAATGATCATTTCCAAGTTTCTCACTTTTTTTTTTTGAAAAAAGTCCCACTTTTCTAATCCTGCTACGAAGGTGAATGATATCACTTTCCCACATTATATATACTGCATCTGTCTCTATGACCATTCATAAAGCCCATCTGTTATTGTCTGAAGCCTTGTTACATTCTCTAGTCCTCACAGCTTACATTTCCTCTGTACTTTGTATTGTCAGTAAACTTGCATTTCTCGGTTCCTTCATCTCAGCCATTAATGTAGATCATGAATAGCTAAAAGCGCCCCCTGCCCTTTAGCAGTCCTGTTATTCAGTTTTTCAATTTGAGAATACTTTGTTTAATCTCGACTCTCTGCTTCCTGCTAATCAATCCTTTGACCATGCTAATTTCTCACCCCATGTTTCATTACTTTGTGTATGAGCCTTTGATTGGCACCTTTCAAAATCCCAGGTATATAATGTGTTCTGGTTCACCCTCTTCTATCCTGATCAGCCGCTATCATATTGAATTGCAGAGCAGGCTTGAGGTGTCAAATGGTCTACTCCTGCTCCTGTCTTCTATGTTTGTACCCTCCAAGTTATATTCTTTTCCTTTTGCCCTCTTATTTCTCATCTATGTGTTGCTTCTCAATGGTATCATCTGAAAATATATCCAGTTCTGCATGGTTGCTGACAGCACCTAGCTCTAACATATTGCCACCTTTCCCAAATCCTTACTATACCATTTTCTTCCCTTTCTGTTGGGCTAGCATCTAGTCCTGAATGAGGAGAAATATTCTCCAACCAAATACTGGGAAGACTGAACACTTGGTACCCATCGCAGCTATTCCCTAATAACCAAACCCCATTCCTGTACCAGGACGCTGTCTGTGGAGGAATCTGACCGTCTGCAATCTTCACATTTGCGTGACTCCGAGCTGAGCTCCTGACAATTCATCTGACTTATTGCCAACACTGTCTGCTTTCCTTCCCCCGCATCATCATCCTTCTCTACATTCTATCTCTGTTTAACTACTTAATCCCCTCAACACTGATCCTAAAGTTACTAACTGCTGTTTGAGCTGGAAAAGTGCTTGTAGAGACTCCCTATTTTGTATTAGGAAGTTTTCATGATGGGAGCCTAGCTCCCAGAGGATCTTAACTCTCTGAACAGGTGTCCCAATGAATGAGTTTCTGTACAATGAAAACCGCGTTACTGAACTTTGGGAGCCAGACTCTGCAAGGAGCCCTGGTTTCCTGTGTTTGCCTTCTTGACCTTTTGAATATCTTATATCTCCTCTATCACACAGTGGATTGCTTAGACCACTTTTTCTTTCTTTCATGAAATGTCACAGGAAAGGCCACTTCTTTTTGCCCATCCCTAATTGCCCTTTGTTTCAGGGGGCAGTTAAGAAAAAAAAATGGGTGTCAAGTCATGTGTAGACCAGACCAGGTGAGGATTGAAGATTTCATTCTGTAAATGACGAGAAGCGATCCTGATAGGTTTGTTAATTGATGCTCGCTGTCATGGCCATCATTACTGAGAAGAGCTTCCAATTTCACATTGATTCTTGACGTTGAAGTTTCACCATCTGCTATGCTGGGATTTAAACCCATTTCCCCAGAGCATTCGCCTGGGCCTTCAGCATACTCATTCAGTGAGGTTACCACTACCCCAATCCCCTCCCCCAACCCCCATGTGATCAGGACGACGATGAAAATCAGACTTAGAGTATCATGTCCTGATCCATCACCTCCATGTGGATCATGCAGCAAAGAAGATCAAGAGCTTGGCTATAAAGTTGTGAAACCAGGTGTGGTCCATTGAGCCCTCTCAGCCTGGGGAATCGAAGCTGGACTTGCAGTCTGAGAATCTGGTCACCCACCCTGCAGCCAGGGGTGTGGGCCCACAAATTCCTCCTATTCTGTGAGGCCTTCAGTGTTTGAAGTTAACCCCAGTGGACCTGGTTCCTGTGATTGTGCTTGATCGATTATCACCTTGTGTGGTTAAGGAATTCTTTTTATCCAAATATTTTCAGGGTGGAGCTGGGGTAAATAATGAGTAAATGAGCAGCTCATGTTGGTTCGTTGACAGCCCAAGTTTCTATCTCGATCAGAAGCCATTTCAGTTGTTCATCACAATCACAATTTTCTCTTTCAATGCGTTGTAGCCTGCTTCTGAATTCAAAGAGAAAGCTGTTGATTTTAAACATTCTTGTGAACTTCTCTTACGGTTGAATGTTATAGACTAAGCCTTTGAGGTACAAAGTTCACACATTGTTCTTTTTTCAGAAACCGGTCACCCCTATGTGTTTTCTCAATACTGTAGTTGGGGAATAGAGCCTAGAGACTGGAGTAATGATTGGAACAGTCTGAAATGTTTGAATGTCATCTTTTGAGTACACACAGACTTGCAGAACACAGCAAGGCTATTGAATGAAAATAGGTTTACTTCTTTTAATAAGAGATTAGCCATACTTACCTGGTTCCTATCATGCAGCCCTTAGTCTGAGCTTGTCAGATGTTAACTGTACCTCAGTTGATATCATTCTTGTCTCAATCAAAGGCTGAGAGATTGAGTTCCACTCTACAGATTTGAGCACAAACCTGAACACATCGCTCTTAGGAAAAGCTGCACTTTTGGAGATGCTAGCTTTTGGATGAGCCATTTAAACCATGCCATCTTTGATGGGTGTGAGAGATCCAACACTGAGGGAGGGTAGTTCTCCCTGGTGTCATGAGCAATATCAAGAAAATCAGACAATCTGTTCATTAACGCATTTGTACTTTGTGAGATCTTTCCGTCCACAGCTGTCATAGTCATACAGCATGGAAACAAACCCTTTGGTCCAACCAGTCCATGCCAACCATAATCCCAAACTAACCTAGTCCCACGTGCCTTTGCTTGGCTAATATCCCTCCAGACATTTCTTGTTCATAAACTTATGTAATTGTCTTTTAAATGTTGTAACTGTACCCATATCCACCGCATTTTCTGGAAGTTCATTCCACAGATGAACGACACTGTGTTTTAAAAAGAAAAGGCCCTTTGTCTTTGTTAAATCATTCTCCTCTCAACTTAAAAATATGCCCTCTAGTCTTGAAATCCACCGCCCTAGAGAAAAGCCGCCTGCCACTCCTCTTGTCTATGCCCTTCATGATTTTATAAACCTCTATAAGATCACCCCCCACCAATCTCCTATGCTCCAGTGAAAACAGACTGCTTCTCTGGTTTCCTGCATTGCGGCAGTGAGTACATTTCAAAAGTGACTTAATAATGTGACATCCAGCAGTTGTGGAGGGCACCTCTTTTAAGTCTCTGTCTTTTCACAGTTTTCCACAGACCACTTCCCAGATAATTCAGCTCACAATACCATGCTGTGCTGGGCAGAAGATTTTTACCTGGCTTATCCCAATGTCTACAAGTTGTAACATTAAAATCAAAAGCCTCGGAATCACATGGTGGTTGAGCTCATCTTTGGACAGTTAACATGTTGAGACTTCAAGATGCTTTCTGCTGAAGCTGCATGGCTGATGCTTCAAGCGGGAGAGAATATAGACACCTACGGATCACTTTTGAAGCACTAACTCACTTCTGTTTTCCTTTGATTATTCCTGGGATGTGGACAGCATTTGCTGCCAATCAGTTATTGCCCTCAAAGTGATTGGCTTGTGTGCCCATATCATAGGCATGGACTTACAGGACGTTAGTGAACCAGGTAGGGTTTTTGCAACAGTGATGATATGAGACCAGTTTTCAATTCCAGATTGAATTAAAATTCAATGAGCTGCCATAGTGGGATTTGAACCCAAGTCCCCAAAATATTAGGTCAGGCAACTGTGTACTAACCCAGTGATAATATCACTAGGACAACATCTCCACCTGTGTTTGCCTAGATGCCAAGTTTCTCCACAGCTTTCTGTTTGTCTTCTAGATTTCCAGCTTCTGCCATTTCATGTGTTTTTGTTTTTCGTGTTTTTTAAATTTAGATTTATGATATTTGGATCATTTGTCTTTGTATTCTCCTAATATTCTTCAATGTTTCTGGTTGATGTTCAAGATAACTAAAAGGAGTTGCTGGGAATAGATTGAGAGGATTGATTGCGTCTAGTGGGGCATGACATTCAAATGAGAGAAAAGCCATTTGCAGGTGATGTTAGAGTGAAACCAGGACTAGGTGGAATTAAGACCTGGATAATCCATGATCTCCATTAATATTGGAACAGGCTTGAGGGGCTGACGGACCTGGACTGCTTTCTGTGTTGTTTGTTTTGCTGCAACTTACAGACTTGCAGCCCCCTCCCCACTGCCCCCTGCCTCACCGAGTAAAGCAGCTTCCCCACCCCTGGTCATCACTGCTTAATTGCCAGTATCTCTGTACCTGTCCTTAAGTCTTGGCTGACTACGTTGGGCTCTTAACATCAGAAGTAACACTGCCACCTGCAGGCTGAGCTTGGAGTTGACTTACTCAACCTCAACACTTGTAGAGAGTTGTCTGCAGTTTCTGCTAATATGTCTTTCTCCTTCAATCTCTCCAGGTGCCAACGAAAAAGCTGAAGAAATATGAGAAGGAGTACCAAACCCTGAGAGAGCAGCAGGCGCAGCAGGAAGACCCAATTGACAGATATAAGGTAGGGGAAGCGTCCCATCAGAGCGAGATTTCTTGAAGCTGTCTTGTGATGAGGAGTGGTATTGGGAGTGCATTGATTGCAGGGGGTGGGGGTTGCTACTACATACCAGTGACTGACTATGGTGTCAAAGTTTGCGCATCTGGGGGCTGTAAGTCGGATTAGCCACTCGGGCCGGGCTTGGTGAGGCTGTGGAAAGGATCTGCATGGGACTACAGTGAAGGGTGGACTAGTCAGCCATGTTTGGGATCAGTCTCTAAGCTAGGTGGAGCCTACAGTCCTTGACCATGCATGACACAGGACTGGCTTCAATTACCACGAGCGGGTCGGAGATGCATTTCCCAAATTCCTTTTCCCCTTCAAAATGGGCTTTTCATCTCGTCCAGGCAATCACACAGTCCAGTAATTCACTAGGCACTTTTCATTGCAAACTCATGCATCTGGTCTTTTGATGTCGAGGAGGTTAGCAAGATTAGTTTTCACTTGCCATTTCTATGCTACAGTCAAGGCTAATCACTTTTTCCTAGCACCACGACACTGCATGTGGAAATCCCAAGGGCTAGAAAATAGCTGAGCATGCTGCTCCAGAACAGCAGAACCAGGCATTTTTAAATTTAAATCTTCAGAAGTGTAACATGAGTGAGTGGTCAATCCAAGGAGGTCCACTTCCTGGGTGAAGCAATTGGTATTCGTTAAATTCAAAAACTGATGAGATTTCATTCAAAAGAGAGACATTTCAGCCATATCTTGAGACTTGACACGGTAAAGGATATTTTCCAATTAACCTGTTCAGAGATGTTGTTCCATACCTCTGGAGCAGGTAGGACTTGAATTCAAGCCTTCTGGTCCAGGAGGTAGGAACACTACCACCGTGCCATGAGAGACCTTAAATGCTGGAGTGGGGAGATAGTAAATTTGGGGCTTGTAGTTTCCAAAGCTGTCCACCACTCAGATTTTCTCATCTCCTGTCTTGGTCTGTTATAGACTAAGCGATGAGAGATTTGCTTCCTGTATTTAGTCAAGCATACCACTGTCATTGTATTGTGGATGAGTGAAGCCAGTAGAGAATCGAGATTGGACTCATCTCGGTGCCACCCTTAGGGAATTACAAGGAAAAGACCTCTCTCTGTAATGGGAGGAAAATATATAGTTAACATAGGCCTGTACCAGCAACTTTCTGGCTGGCCTCTGTAACTTCCACAGAAACCTGATGCCAGGTTTTTCCAAAGGTACTGAGTCTGGTTAGGAAGATATTAACCACCCAGAAACCCAGATTTTGGTTTGTATTTCTTTTTAAAGAAAAAGACAAATTACTTGCATAATGTAAAAGAGAAAGGACCCTATTTCTGTAACAACTTTCAGACCCTTGCAAAGTCCTGAAGCATGTTACAACTAATTTTGATATTTCTTGTGTGGTGGCTGTAATGTTGGAAACAGCCACTAATTTGACAGGCAAGCAATTTCAGGGCAGTAAGAATCAGCAGGTTTGCCAGAATGTGTGGAGAGAGAGAAAGAGATTTATCGTTTCAAGGTGTTGCCTTTTTGATAAAACATTGAACCCAAAACATTCACTCCCCTGTCCCACAGAGGCTGCACCTGCTGCCTTTCTGCTGCATCTTGTTTTTACTTCAGATCTGTGGTATTTTGCTTTTGTATCTGCTTTAATGCGATTGGTAATGAAAGAAACATTGGTCAGCACGCTGGGGAGATTGTCCCTGAGACGATCACAAAGCCCTTATATTTATATCGATCTGAGAGGGCAGTGGTTTCACCGATCATCCAGCAGGTGGCATCTTCCCCTTTGCCAGCCTCTGCATAGTGCTCCAGGGTCTGGATTGGGGCTTGAAACCTGCAGGTTCAGGTGAAGGTGCTACCCACTGAGCCCCTCTATTCTTTCCTGAGATATGGGTGTCACTGGTAAGACCAGCATTTGTTCTCCATCCCTAACTGCCCTGGAACTTGAGCGCCTTGCTGGGCCTTTGCAAATGGTAGGTAAGGGTCAGCCACGTTGCTGTGGGTCTGAGTCCTGGCAGAGTCAGGCGTCTACAACAGGTCTACAAGAACAAGGCTCTTCAGCCCAACGAGACTGACCCAGTCAAAAATAACCATTCACACAATGAGGAAGGGTCAACGGACCCAAAACATTAACTCTGATTTTTCTACACATGCTGCCAGACCTGCTGAGCTTTTCCAGCAACTTCTGTTTTTGTTCCTGATTTACAGCATCTGCATTTCTTTTGCTTTTTAATAATAACCACTCACTATTCTAATCCCATGTTCCAGCTCTTGGCCCATAGCCTTGTATGCCTTGGTATCGCAAGCGCACATCTAAATACTTCTTCGATGTTATGATGGTTTGTGCCTCCACCACACTTAAAGGCAGTGAGTTCCAGATTCCTGTCACCCTTTTCCACACCCTTCATAATTTTATACATCTCAGTCATGTCCTGTCTTAATCTCCTCTGCTCCAAGGAAAACAGCTCCAGACTGCCCAGTCTCTCTTCAAACATGAAACTGTCCAGCCAGACAACATCCTGGTAAAATCTTCTCTGGATATCCTTCACTGAAGGACATTAGTAAACCAAATGTGTTTTATGCCCATTGATGATGTTACCATCATGCTGACCAATACTATGGGGAGCACTCAATTCCAGATTTATTCATGGACTACAAATTCCCCAGCTGCCGTGGTTGGATTTGAACGTGTGTCCCCAGATCATTTGTCTGGTGCTCACGATGACTAGTTTGGTGATGTTACTGCTGTGCCACCATCTCCCCCAAAACCAAGGCTGACACTACTCATCTCCCTTTAAATGGTTAGAAATAGGAGGGAGTGAATAGATTTTCATTAGTTCTTGGGATGAGTGTTGCTGACAAGACCAACTTTCATCGCCTATCCTGCATTAACCTTGAGAAGGTGACATTTCATTCCTATACCTGATGATATTCGTGCAATTCCATATGTAATTTCCAAATGTATTGAGGGAGCAATGGGCACAGTACTGTCTCTGTTATATCCTTGTAAATATTTGAGCTTTCCTTGTGAAATCCAGTTGGATTTTTTTAGTGGCACTGGATCTTCTGCACACTCCCCACGTCTCTTGATGCTCATCATTGTCTGGTTAATTCTTCCCATTTCCTTCTCTTCTTTCAGTTCATTTCATTTCAGTAA